TTGTTCCTCTTTTGTTTTCAGCGATATTCCTTCAACATGTGATACTGGTACCTCTAAGTAAATCACATGCCAGAGATTGTAACAGAAGAAATGGAAAAGTAAAGAGAAGTGTGTAAATTGATGAAAACGCAGCCTATAGTCTGTGTACCTATGCAGTTTCCTATTTGAAATAAAGGTAAAAAGAAAAGGCGCTGACATTAGATAACACAGCGATGTAGTCCTAGAACCTTCCATTGCAAACTCAAAAGCCTGCCCACATCCGATGTTTCTGACAGCACCTCTCATCTTGGTAATCCACCCGACTGCATTTTCGAGATGTTTTCTGTTTCAAATTCATTGATAAACAAAAAGCCTCTCAGCAGAACTGGATCAATACCTTGTATTCCTCTCTAGAAGATAGGAAAGGTAACTCTCTATCGTTCGGAGTCATAATTTCATTTAACCCTTCAGTCCTGTCATGGACATCACCACAACTGCCCTGGCTCATTCACCTGCAGAGGAGGCTACCCGGCCTGGCGAAAGGTGTTTCTAACAAGAATTGCTGAGATTTCTCTTCCCTGAGAGATTTGTAGAGCACCATACCATTTTTTTCTTCTTCAGAAAATGTACAGATTCTTCTAAAATATAATCACCAAGAGGGCTCCCACGACATGGAACACGTAATGCACCCTTTCAAACGTTGCAGAAACAGTCCCTGTGGAGGGTCCATGAGACAGCAGTAAGTAGAGCAAGGCTGTCACTTGTGCACTTCTGTTTCTAAGGATCATCACAGAGCACTGAAAACAAGGTAAACTCCTTACCCAATCAAAAAGATATTTGACAAGTCACAAGATTTGGTTGTAGTATACAAATAAGCATGATGCTTGAAAATACGAATGCTATGTCCTATATTTTTGAGCTTTATAAGATAAAACTATAAAGTAATGAGACCAAGTTAAATAAACATCCCAAGACTGACACGTCTCAACCAAAGGCGTCTCCCTCAAAGAAGGGACCTTGAAAGCTACATTAATTGCCATGATACTGCTGTTACCCAAAATGTTTTGAGGAGCTCCTTTTGAGGAGCTGCATTCTTAACTCAGGAATATCCTTCTGATATGACCTTATTGGTTGCAGATGTTGGTCCCTTGAGTGATAGATTTTAGTGTTGCAAAGAGTTCAAAGTTATTTGAAGCCTGGTTTGATGAGTAATGTAGGTTATCGATGGAGATCATGCGTTATGGATCAAAAACAAGGCTTGAAGATAAAATCATAACGCTGGGTTTTCTGGAAAGCTCAAACCTGGCCCACAGACAGTTCCAAATGGGAGATTTAAAAGGGACCATAATGATATCACTATTCTGAGTGAATATGGGATTTCAAAGTGATTATTTGGAAAGAGGAAACCCTCACTTGACGTGTGCTATAGCATCTGTGTGAGAGAGAGAAACAGAGACAGACAGAAATCTCAATGCTCTAGAGCAGGGGTCCTCAAACTTTTTAAATAGGGGGCGAGTTCACTGTCCCTCAGACCGTTGGAGGGCCGGACTATAGTTTTAAAAAAACTATGAACAAATTCCTATGCACACTGCACATATCTTATTTTGAAGTAAAAAAACAAACGGGCAAAAAACACCCGCATGTGGCCCGCAGGCCGTAGTTTGAGGACGCCTGCTCTAGAGCAATGATTTTTACACGTTTGACCTCAGGACTCCTTTACACTTTTAAAATATTGAGGGCCTCAAAGAACTTTTATTTATGTTAGTTATAGCTATTGATATTTACCACATTAAAAATTAAAATGGAGGAATGTGTAAAACGTTTATTGATTTACTTTAAAATAACAATAATAAATCCACTCTGTTCATATAAACATTTCTGTGTAAAATTACTACATTTTCCAAAACAAAACAAAACAAAACTTAGCAAGAATAATGGCACTGTTTTCCACCTTTGCAAATCCCTTTAATGTGTGGCTTAATAGAAGACAGCCAGATTCTCGTACCTGCTCCTACGTGAGTGACACGTCGTGTGAACTGGAAAACCCCACCATGCACCATGAGAGAATGACAGTGAGAAAGACAGGTGACGTCTTCCTGTTATAATGAAAATTGTTCTGAGCTTACAGACTCCCTGAAAGCATGTTGGGGATCCCATAATTCCTCAGACCACGCTGCTTTAGAGTCACACCCGGAACGTGACAATAAACATAACCGTGTGGGCAAGCATGTGTGTGTAAAAACTGAGAGCGGAAACAAACACAGAATGGGGGTTGGAAGCTCCTTAAAATTGCTCCAGGAAAAGTATATTTTAAGTCTTCAAGTTCCTAACTTCACCTTTCACCCTAATAGGGTGCTATGTGAACCCGCCCCAGCAGCTCAGCTAAACCACCACTATCTCCTGGACTCAGCCGCTCCCTGTGCCCTCCATGCCCTTGTCTGCCAATTAACTAGGCACTTTGGTCCGCTGCAAGCAAAATGCGCCAGAGCAGCAGCCCAGATGATCAGCTGCTGTTGCTTAAGGAACATTCTGAATGGCTGGGGTGAGGGCATCCCAGACATTTTTGGTTTTGCCTAGTAGTTCAATATCAGTTTGTTCATTGTTATTCCAAACGCACAGACTTTCTCATCCCACAGTGACCACTGATGTTACTCAATTAACAGATCATGGCCAGGTGCAGTGGCTCACGCCTGTAATCTTAGCACTCTGGGAGGCCACGGCAGGCGGATTGCTCAAGGTCAGGAGTTCAAAACCAGCCTGAGAAAGAGTGAGACCTTGTCTCTACTATAAATAGAAAGAAATTAATTGGCCAACTAAAAATATATATAGAAAAAATTAGCCAGGCACGGTGGCACATGCCTATAGTCCCAGCTACTTGGGAGGCTGAGGCAGGAGAGTTTGAGGTTGCTGTGAGCAAAGCTGAGGATGCCATGGCACTAACTCTAGCCTGAGCAACAAAGTGATACTCTGTCTCAAAAAAAAAGTTAAAAAAAAAAAACCAGATCAGCCAGGGAAGGCCTGAGCCATCCTCTGCAAAACACCAGGACATAGCAGTTTGGTGGGGTAGGGGTGGTTCAGCCTCCAGGCCTCCAAACATTTGCAGGCATGAGAAGTATTCTCTCAGATAGCCAAGAAGGCATTTCTCAGACCTTTTGCTGACATGCTGGAAAAAGTATTGAAAAGGTATACATCACGGACCAAACATTTGTGGAAAAGACTATAGTTTACACACAAAAAAACATCATTCAGCACGCATAATTTGAGGTCTCCCTGTGTTTCAGGCACTGTTTTAGGTATTTGCTAGCTTAGTAGAAAGAGCACTCAATTGGGTAACTCTAGATAGCCAAGATCTGATCCTTGGGCTGTATCTAATTTGTCCCTGGATAAATTACCTAACCATTCCAATCCCAAGTTTCTACAGAGGGGAAAATGGGGACATTAAAACAAATGAACTCTAATGACCTTTCCATTTTAAAATTCTATGCTCTTAAAGCCTAAGGTAGCCTGTCAGTGCATAAGCAGAGGAAAAGACATTTGTAGATATGTGAGGAAGGAAGTAGAGCCAATTTCTCTAATAACAGCCCTCTTTCAAGGAGAGTGGGTGCCCACCAGTAGAATCAAGGTGTTGAGACGTGCTGCAGACACGATCTAGAAACGCTTCCAGAGCTTCCAGAGCCTCCAAAGCAGGGCCCGGCCACATCCCCACCTGCACCACCCATGGCTGCTTCCCAGGGACTGTGCCCTCTGCTGTTTGGGACCTCATTGTTCCCAGGCCCCAGACAGAACACAGGAAGCCCACGCATGCCCCCGCCCACCGTGAGGATGAGCATATGCCCTGGCTCAGGAAGTGCTCTTCTGCAAAGAGAAATAGGATGTGTCACAAAGACAAAAATGCCTAGTTGTAACCAGGAATCTCAATGGAATTATCCTTATCCTTGAAACATGTGAGCACAGCTAATGTTAAGCCTTCAGCTAAACGTGAAAATGGTGGCAGGAGAGACCGTATTCCCCTGAATGACATGTCCCCCTCCTTCTCGGCTCTGCCACATGCTCACATGAAATATCAAATTGCTTGCAGCTCATATTGAATAATGAATATGCCCGCCTCAGCCTATCACCAAGCCTTCAGCGGTCCGCCTGGGGAACTGGGAGAGATGTTAGAGGTTTGCAGGCCAAGCACAAAATTGAAGACAAGCCTGAATTAATAATTTGCTTATTTCTATACATGTGCTTCAAAATAAAGTGAAAATTGAATAAGGTAATAACAGTGCAGGGAGGAAAAAAAAGCCTTCCTCTTGCAAACTGCTGACACTTCAATTTCATTCTCTCACCACCCTGAATGTGATTTGCAAATGTGCTCTCCCTATGTCCTCATGTGGAAATGTCTTCAGGAAGAGCCAAAAACGAATGGAAAACAATTCCATGGAGCTTCAGGAAAAAAGGAAATTAAACCTCTCCTTTTAAGTTGATTTTTTTTGAGCCCTGTTTCTTAAAATTGTGCTCCGTGGACCTCTGCATCTGAATCACCTGAGCATCTCTTGGAAATCCCAGGGAAGTTTCACATATGGTCTACTCCTGGTTACTGCTGCTTTTTCCTACATTGACACAAAATCCCCATCATGTTCTTGCCCATCACAGCTACATACATCCCTCTGGAGCCATGGTTTTTAAACTACCATTGTCAGGTACCTTTGCCCCTGTATGTTTGTGCCTAAAAATGTAAATCTATTTCCCCTTGCGTTTTTAATTAATATCTCCCATATGTCAGATTCAGGCACCTCAGAAGAATGAAAACAGTGTGCATTGGAATCCAGCACCAGCATCTTACCTCATCTAGTCCATCAGGGCCATTTTCTGTAATCTGGAGACTTTAGGGGAGGGGAATATTTAAAAAGTAGGGAGATGGTTACATACACAAATTTAGATTCAAAATATTTTTAGTTTATTTTTATTGTATATATTTAAGATGTACAACATGATGATTTGATACAATCAAAATATTGAAGTAACCCATACAAACCTCCAAGGAGAAACAAACTTCCCCTGTTTCCTAGTTCCCTTAGAATAAAGCCGTCTGTGAACAGCCCTCTCTCCTGTGTGTGCCAGACAGCACCATGCAAAGACCACGCAGGGGTAAGAGCAGAAAATGATCCTCTTTACTCATGCCTTTCCTTGGCAAAGTGCTTCCCCTGCTCCCCTCAACTCCGAACCCCTCCTCCTGCTCACTCCTTCTGTCAAGTCTATGCAAACCTGCCTGATTCCTTAAGATTGGGCTAAGTCTCCTCTGTGCATGCTCCCATAGCAATTGTCACTCTGGATTAAACTTTCCTAATAATTTATCTATAATTTCACTAAAATATAATCTCCTATAGCATAGAAACTCCAACTTGTTGGGTTTTGCATCCTCACTACTCTCTGCTCATCACCTGGCATATAATAGGAACAAGCTATTGATAGAATGAATGGGTACACTTAGGCCACTCTGGATCATGGTCCAGAGGAGGGGAGGAGGCAAGTGGAGGAAATGAAGACTATGGATCTAGGCACTAGCAATGGAATATTGCATCTCCCACATATAGGTTACTGGTTTGCATTCAAACTTGATAGGCAGCTTATGAAAACTGAAATCAATAAATACCTATTTGGTCATGGGTATTAATACCACTTCCACAGGTCAACATTCAAAGCCAGAAGAAATGAAAAATCACCGTTGTCCATTTTAATTATCTCTAGAAATGAAGGACTGGTTGGACCATAGAGGTTAACAATCATCTTTCCTCTAAAGGTAGCCCAAGCACCTCTTGGTAATTACAATCCATGTAAAACCAAATAAAAGATATCTCTGAGGATGTTCATCTTGCATTGCCTTTTATCTTCCATTAAGAGGACCAGGTAAGAGCAAAGGTGAGGAAGATGGCCTAGCAAGGTCAATCATGGCCACCTTCCTTCTTCCTCCTTTCCAGGGCAGCCCCTTCTATTTATAAATTAGAAATTGATAGAGATGAGACTGTGTAACATAATCTTGGAAAGGTTTCAAGAACTAGAAGGAAAAAGCAACACACAATGTCATACAGATCACAATACATTACAAGTTACTTGTCAGAGCCAATATCAAGTTCCCAAGAGGAGAAGTAAAGAGAAAGAAACAAAAACATACCCACTTAGAGGTTTCAAGGGCATCTCAAACTGCCCACGTACTAAGCTGAATTCTTACTCCTTCCTTTCAAAAATCTGCTTTTCTTCCAATTTTCATGACTTTAATCAATGGCACTAGTATTCAATCTGCTATCCAAACTAGAAACTTGAGACTCACTCTACCCCATTATTAACTTCACCTTCTCTATCACCATTCCATCTAATCGACCACCAAGAACTGCTGATTCTACCTTCTAAATAGCTCTCTTCATTTCAACTGCCAGTACCTTATTCCAGCATTATCTTTTGCACACATTCTATATTACTTAGGTTAACCATTTGTTACTTTAACAAACAAGCTAAAAATCTAGGCAATTTAAGACAATAAAAATTTATCCCTCCACCCACCAGAGTTCAATGAGAGTTGGTGGTGTGACTCTTATTGCAAACAGTTGTTAAGGGACCCAGGCTCTTTCTGTCCTGTTGCTTTGTTATCTTCTAGGGCTTTGGGGTCCTCTACCAGGTCCACTGCTTCCGTCCAGTAGATGGGGGAGAGAGGATGGAAGGTTGCCAAGCATGGAAGTGGCAGGCATCACACCCACTCTCATTCCATTGGCCTGGACTCCATCATGCGGCCTCACCAAGTTGTGGAAAGGCTGAAGAAATGCTCTAATTCTGGGCCAGAAAAAAAGAAGCATGGTTATTACTTAACATTAGCATTCTCCACCCAGAGACCTCCTCACATTTGTTCTTATCCTAATAACCCCACTTGAAGCCATTCTTCACACTGCAAACAGAATGGGGGAAAAGTCTGATCACATCACTCTCTGGCTTAGAACACTTCCACACTTCCACCAAAATCCTTTTGAGGGTGTATCAGTCAGGGTTTGATCAGACTAGAAGAACCACCATGCTAAAGAATAAAGGACTTATTAAATGGGGTAGACCGTATGCAGTTGTGAGAGCCAATGGAGCAGTCTATGTTGGCCATTGCCTCTGTAACTAGTTCTGAGCCTGAAGTTATCAGAGATCAATCAGAGTGGAGATCCATCAGCAAGCTGGGCGTGGACAAGAGCAAGAACAAATTGGAAGCCATGAAGATGAATGGGGATCCACAAGGACAACTGGAAACTGAGGACAACCTGGAAGCTGTGTCTGTCTCTCACCAACTTTAACCCCAATCTTAGCCATGGAGCTGCCCATGCACTTGGCCCAGAACTTGAAGAGGCTGAAGGAGAAGACATGGCAGGAGGCAAAAGAAAAGCAGATGCCGGCGCTACCCCTGCCAATGAGGTGAGTGAAGAGCTCTCAGACAGCATCATGAACTGCCATAGCACCAGTGCCCAGAGCCGGAGAAGGATGGCTGTTGCTGCATTTATGCCTTCCAAAACTCCCATAAAATGTCTCTTGTTGTCTACACTAACCCAAAACCACACAAGAAAGAGAATTCTGGGAAATACAGCACAGCTTAGCTAAGTGGACAAAGTCCAAAGCCACCACACATGGCCCAGAAGACCTCTGGCTACTTCTCCAATTTCATCTGAATGAACTCCCCCTCTTTTCCATTCTTTAAAGGTCACTGCCCCAGAAAGAAATCCTTGACCAAAATCTTCTCTAAAATACTCAGTGCACTTTCAATTGCTTGTTCAAAGTCTAGCCCTACTATTAGACTAGAAGCTCTAGGAGGGCAGGCATCACATGTGCAGTATGCACTGCCATACTGTTTCCCAGCCTGCAGCAGGGTGCCCGGTACACAGAACCTCTTCTTAGATAGGATGCTAATTAAGCTGCACAGGATTGATACTTACCCAGCTCATTTTTAAAGAATATGTGAAGTTGGAAAAACAGCTACCTGAACGAACATTCATTCCTAAGTCTGACATTCATTTCATTGTACCTCACCTAAATCTTTAATGCCTTTAAAACTACTCAATGAAGTTCTATTTAAGAAATATAGGTCACTAAATTATTATATATTAGCAGCCAGGAAGATAAGGAATTATTTCTTTTGGAGATTTATTAGAAATAGTGCACAGCTAACATTTCTACATTATATTAGAACCACCTGCCCAAAAGCAGGGAGATGGCTTCTATGACCCTTTAGGGAAATTCCAGTTCAATGAGCCTATCAAAGTTATTTTACTAGCATAGCCACATAAGATTAATCATCTTTGTGAATTCTTAATTGCTGTGGTCAGACAACCCCCGGAGAGTAATCATACACCATGGCAGAATTCGTGCTCCTTTTCCTTTCTTCCATGGTGAAGGAGAAAGCAGGAGAAGGCAGCAGTTCACTGCCATTCCCACTTCAATTCGTTCAAGAAATAACTGTGATGTTTCCTGCAGGGTAGTGCTAGGGATACAAGATGACTAAAAGAACTCAGATTTTAGTGGGGAGAAAGACAAGTAAATACACTTGGTATTTTTTTTAGAGGCAATTGCTATTTAAAAAAACAAACAGGTAATTGACCAAAATATCATAGGAAGTGCTCTGTAAATATTAGCTAAGTGTCAGGCACTGATGTAAGCACTTTACCTGAATGAACACATTTACTCCTCATAACAACTCAGTAATGTAGCTGCGTTTATTTTTCCCCATTTTTAAAGATGAGAAAGCTGAGCCACAGAGAGGGTAAGCAACTTGTCCAAGGCCACACAGCAGGTCTTCAGCACTCATTGCTTAACAACAGTGCTACCCTGCCTCAGCCTATCCCCCATTCCTGTCCATGATTCCTCCATGACTATTAGGCCAAATGATTACAAATTAAAGGTTCAATGATTAATTTTTACAATATAATGAATTATTACCATTTTAATAAAGCTGGTATTTAAAAACTATAGAGGGATCAGATTTGTAAACTACATCATTTGTCAATATAAATACCTATATATTCTCAAAAGATTAATATATATTATTACCCAGAAGGAACTTCCACCTCTGACCACATGCCATCCTGTCTGCACCTTTGCTTCTCCCATTACATAGGGCTGGACGATGGCGTCACCCTCCATTACCCATTACAAAAGTCACCACATTTTTCAAGGGAAAAGTGACAAAGGAGTATCCAACAACTTACACAAAAACACTAAAATAGTTTCTACTCTTCCCTGTCAATCCTGGAATCTCCTGAGCAGTATCCACTGAGAAACATGGTTTCCTCAGCTCAGTCAGCTTCAGGTGGAAGGGGAACTGAGTAATGGCTTAAGAAAAGCTGCTCCATTGCCCCGAATAATAATAGATCAGAATAAAAGATAAGTAGGTGGCCTGGTGGTGTGCACCTGTAGTTCCAGCTACTCAGGAGGCTGAGGCGGGAGGGTCGCTTGAGCCCAGGAGCTGGAGGCTACAGTGAGATGGGATGACACCACTGCACTCCAGGCTGGGCAACAGAGCAAGACCCTGTCTCAAAAAAATAAATAAATAAGCGAATAAAAGATAAGAGGAAGGAAAGGGCCTTTTTCCTTTTTTTAGCTATGATCATAGAATATACATAAACCTAAGTTGGGTTTAAATGTTGACAGCAAAACTCAGTGGAATTACTAACTTCCAAAAGAGACTGCCTGGGTAAAGACTGATGAGAAGTTGAGATTGACCCATGAGAAATTAAGAATCTTTCTAAACTTTTTTACAAAGGGATGGGTAATAGCCTTGAAAGGGAGTCCAACTGATGACAAGAAAGCATCAGAAACGCTTAAACGACCTATATTGGGGACTGGATTTAAAATCTGAGGAGGAGGACACAGACATTTATCCTCGGGCCATAGTCCGTCCTCTCTTCATGGTGGCATGCCCACAGACAGCACGGGAGTGGAGTGCATGGATTAAGAGCAGTTTATGATCCTTTGTCTCATAACATTTGATCAGAGGAGAAGTTTTTATGATACTTTACAGTACATAGTAGTTAAGTTGAACAAATATTATGACCACAATAAAACACATTCTTATCACTGGAACATAAATCAGTAATTGCTACATTGTGAGGGAGTTTCCCCCACAAGTCAAGTGACACTGCTAGCATCAACTGGGGGAGAAGTTTAAAGAAAAAGCCACAGCATCAAATATCATTTAAAATCAAAGCGCCACAAAATTAAAACCTGTTCCTTCCAGGGTTTCAAGGCTGTTTTTCAAACCTTTTACAAAAAGCTTTTCTCTTTCTAGTCAATCGCTAAAGCCACCTAAATAAAAACCTATTAATAAGGACTCCAGCAGAGGGACTGACTTGCCATAAAACCCGGAATGCTTTGGAGCTCAGTGGAGATTCACTTCTGCCACACACAGCTTGGCAGCAGCAATCGACTCAATCCCAGCACACATGTTCCCAATTACAAACTGAAGATTTCTATCAGAGTTGAAGTTAATTGTTGTATACTGCTGGCGTAGGAGAAACTCTTTGAGGGGGAAACTATCTACAGCTCACGTGGCTGGATTTCTTAGGGAGAAAGAGGGACCACCCTCATCAAGGTGGTGGGAAAGTGTTAAGACCCTGGTAAAATAAAGTCTGTTTTGCTCCTTTGGCTTGAATTCCTTGAGTTATTGCAACCTGTTTAAATAGTGCAATCAAAAGTGCATCTCACAACAATCTAATGGGTACTTCTTATTTATGAACTCTTTGGAACATAGCAGGTGCTGGACATTTGAGACAACATTGAACGTCCACATTCTGCTCTCTCCGGAACTTAAAGTGATAAATAAGGTAGCTCTGAAGGCAGTTTGAAGGACTTCTAAGGAAAATGGGCTCAGGGAGTACTGTTCTTTCTTGTTGATTCGGAGTCATATAAACTTAGGAGTTTATAAGGTTATTATCTTCCTTTTTAAAAAAATCTCATTTTTGTGGATTTTATGATCCAAGACTACAGCAATTTTAGAGAATAATGTTTTAAATTTCAAAACAACAAATTCCCCCAAAACATGATAAGTAGTAATTTAGTCTATAAATTTCTTTTTTTTTTTAAGTTAGCACATATTGAACACTTAGCACACATACCAGCCATTGTCCTAAGAGACGGCTCAATCCTCACAGCACTTGATGAGGTAAGTGTTCTTGTCTGCCATTTTGTAAGTGAAGAAACTGAGACTCAGTTTAATTAAGTTGCTTGATGTCACACTGCTAATAAGTGATGGTGGTAGAACTTGAACTCAATGCTGTCTGGGAGTTTACTGCTACGACGTGGTGCCACCCCTAGGAAACACACTGGTGCTTTCCCTCTACTGATTATAAGTCGAGACAAAACCACTCCATTAAATACATAAATGTTCATAACCATCATTCATTCCTCTACTCGTTCACCCATCACTTCAATTATGTAATAAGGCATGTATTTCTAGGGGAGAAGGGACTTCATTGCTTTCACTCTTAGCAATGGTAGCTCCCTCTGTTCTGGCATTACCGCTCTATGCAAATTTTAACTAATGCTTACAAAGGTGAGTTTCTAAGCTCTTTAAAAATTGCAGACACATTTACTTTCGCAAAAGACCCATAATAGACAATACAGAAAGATTTTGTTCATTTGTGATTTTTTTTTAAATTAGACTGTTTTTCTTGTTTATATAAAGAAAAGGATGAAAAATATCAATGAAAATGAGACTGGTTTGCCTTTCATTTTACCTTCTGTAAACCTGACACACGGATCACATCTGTGTGCTCCAGCCAGTGTGCTTTCTCATGCTCCAGCAAGGG